AAAAAATCAATTTGTTGGGAAAGGAGAACATTATTTTCTCTTTTTTCTATTTTCCTTTCAATTTTATTCCATGAAAATCTAAAGTTTTGTTTTCTTTTGGTTATGTATTTGTTTCATTTATACTCGAATCATAAACGAACACAACCTATAAAACCTATAACCTATAAAACTTTATATGTTCTTCCTCTTGTTTTCAATTTGAAGTTAAAAATAACAACAACAAAAAACCTATAGCTATTTAAAGATATTAAAGTTTTTTTAAATAACCCCAAAAAATCGAAACTTTTTTTTTCAAATACATTTGAAGTTTAATAGTGGACCCTTGAATCATATCCAAGGAATGTATGACATGTTTTTTCCACATGAAAAACAATATTGGTGCCTACAAACATAAAATTGTGACAATCTAAATGAAGTGAATGGAAAGATAGTGTAAGTTCTGAATTTTGTCACGTAAAAGAAACAAAATAAATTTTCCTCATCACGTTTTCTAGATTCATTTCCCCAAACATTTATATAGTTTTACAGATTGTAAACGGATATTAAGAAGGATTCACACAGTTCATTAGTTCTCAAAGTAAAATTGGCTGGCTTCTTGACAGACATAGAGACAGAAATGCTAATCCTCTAAAGTCTACTTTTCATGAACACGTTTAAAAAAATAAAACATTACACAAAAACAGAAAATCTTATTTTTATTTCTATTTCTTCAAAATTAATATACACCTTTTATTATTCTTTTTGTAAAAAACTTGCGTGGCATGTTGGAAAAAGGAATGGATCTTTTTTTTTTAATTTAATATAGAAATAACGAACAGTAATCAAGCTTGAAAGTTCATTGAAATAATACAATTCAACAGCATAGCACACACGGACCTCTAAAACATCAAAGGTGGGGTCAGATGCCATGGAGGAGTAAGCATTCCCTGGCGACCGGTCACACCCGCTGTGGGCTCCTTGTCAATTTCGATGATACATGAACATTTACCTCTTCTTATGGGTTTATAAGTAGTGTTTTTAGATTGTTTCTCACCTAATTTCACGGGTCTTGATAAATCCCGATATCAATGAAAATTTGCGTTCATCACAAAATTATGAATCCGCAGTAGTCATTCGATACATGATCACTAGTTCAACATATATAATGCAATGTAAGCACATTATATTAATTCCTCAACGATGGACACTTATCTCTCTGGTTAATAGTGTGTGAATAAAGAACGTGGTTAAGTGAGAATGTGTAAGTATATTTATTTTTCAGGTGCAAGATTAAAATCACTGCTAGATGACACCACTTCTTAATTACCTGTTTAACATGATAAGGAGGCACTCCTGATGCTGAGGGTTCTTAGAACCGTTGTTTTCGTTTCTGAATTTGCACAGAACGTTTTGAAATAAGATAGTTTTCCTTCCATACTTATACTTCAATACTCATAGAACATTACATATAATTAGCTGTTGTTTTAAGAGTTTCAAACATAGATTTCATCACATTTTCGAGAAGCTATTTCCAATGTCTATTTACACATCATATCAAGAAACAAGTGACATGGCATATGGCTATTACAAAGGAGTACCTTTGTATCAAGTGAAATGTTTTCTTAATTATCTTTGGTCATTCTCATTAATCACATAAATTCAATTTTCATATTGGCATTCAAATATCTTACCGATTCCATTCTCCTGAACTTTACTTGAACTTTAACGTTATATCTATTCCTTTGAGTTTATATTCGAATCAACATTAAGCGTTAAATAAATAAGAAATATAGCATTTACTGAATTAAATGTTGTCAGGGGAAATAGAGACACTAAGAGCTTCGCATTATATATATAGCTTTCATAACAGCTAACCTTTCAGAACTTCTGGTTTGAATTGGTTAAAAAATACCGATCTGTATCTTTTCGATTCATCCTCAACAATTTTCTGTTTATTCAATTCAAAATCTGAAAATTCCATTGATTTCGCTGAGATTAGATGGGAAGTTATAACATCCTAGAGACCAGGTTTAACGATAGAATGCGTTCCGTGTATTGGCAATGTAGCAAAACGAACAATGGCGATAACTCCAACTCAGTGCCTATACTATGAACAATCCAGAGAGTTTCGAATGTCAACATGGCGTTTAAATTTAAAGCGAGTAAAATACGTTGAGAAAAAGTGTAGAATTGTTCAAATACATGGATTCTGTTTTTGGGTGAAAGGTATCCACAAGCTCAGAAAGGTTTGATAGGATTAATTTGATGGGTATTTTCAATGCAACTTTATTTTCTCCAAAATCGTTTCGGAGTGAGTCTGCAATTTTCTGCTACATTGCGGGTACATGGGAGGAATTCTAACTGTGGCGAGGACCTTAACTAGGTTTGAAATAAGTATCTCTTTATCACAGGTACTTGGGTAATCTGCAAATTCTTTATAGTTAAATTACTAAAATATAATTAAATATTGAATTTTGTCTAATGTTTGTAATTACGCCGTGTTGAAGGCTAAATCGTATACTAAGTGCTTTATACTTCTTTATAAGCTTAAAATTTGATATTTTATGCATTGCTTCAAGCGTTATATACAACTCGGAGAAAAGGATACTTATATATATATATATATATATATATATATATATATATATATATATATATATATATATATATATATATATATATATATATATATATATATAAATCCAGTGAAGAGTCCGTCGAATAAAAAGTTTACTTTAGAAGCACGGCTGCAAAAGCACTGAAAATACTTTAAATTTGTACATTTTTTATTTAAAGATATTGAAATTCTCAACATCGCATTTTAAGTGTACAAATAGTCTAACAATTTTGTATTTCATTGCTTTTTAAAATCACAGAGAACGAAAAAAAAAGTCTATGCACGTCTATTTTAACCAAAAGAAGGAGATGCTTATAGGAAATTGTTATTTTTTATTCAGGTTGTTTCTACATGACATCCTTGTGAAATGCAAACTTATTTTTTACCCCTAATTTTGTTTTCACATCGAATGGTTCTCTTTTTTCACAAAGAAAGTCAAAAATGTCGAACAGGCTGATGAAATTTCCTGCACCAGATCGTGCTGTTGTTATAACAACGAATTATTACAAGTAACGTAGGATGATTATTGACACATTCAGAAATCATGCCTGCAGTGCACTTTCTACTGTCATTCATCTTCTTTATTTGCAAACTACTTTGTTTATGAATTTCAATTTCTGTTATTATCAATATTTCTTTCCTATCCTGAAAGGTTATTTTTAAGACTAACAAAAAAAAAATAATTTTAACAAAGATTAGTGAATATAATCGATCTCTTGTAGAGTTATAAATTCTATAATGTAAAATATGGATTAAGGGCAGATATCCCATTTAAGTGTTCCTCTCAAATTGTCGTTCTTGTTCTAGGCAACAGTCAAATCCTTCAATACTAATAAGACGTATAGACCGGAAACTTGTGTAGTTGAGCAAAATTTAAACAGGTCAGAGACTATATGGCATTGTAATTCGCGCATTTTGTCTATATAAAATCTTTTTTGAGGTGTTGAATTAGTGAACAAGGGATTACACCGGAGGCGCCAGAATATTACTCAAGCAATAATACTTAAGCGTTTAGCATTGACAATGAAACTATAAATTCACCTTTACAACTGACTGACATTCAGTACATTCTCATGAACATCTCTTTTAATATTCTGTTTATTAAAATTGATTTCCTTTCAAATTTCCGTTCGAGATGTTATTAAGAAACCTATTAAAACCCTTCTCTTTGTATATTTTTCTTCCAAAGAAGTTCCGTTTGAGGAGAAAAATCAAGTACACGTATTTGAGCAAGACGCAGATCAATTGTTGCAGAAAAAGAATTAACATTTAGCCTTGCATGTGTCGATTATCAAAAATGTAAAAAATGATTGACTTTAACAATCATTTACTAAATATTTCGTGACTTATGCAATGATTATATTTTACCTACAATATACAATGTGCATGGCAACAAAATCTTAAATGCACGTTTTATGTCTGAAGGGATTGTGCTTAGATTATTGCAACTGGATTTTTTTTCTGTTCAGATTTATTAGGATTACAGTGAAATTAGGTTCTTCGTAAAGATTGTTCTAATCGGTAAGGACTCTTTGGTATGCTTCTTTGCATTGCTTTAATTAGTTTTTCTTGTTTGTTTTTTGTTTCTTAAAGCGTTGGTTAAGCCAAAATTAACGAAGTGAAATTATTTTCTAATCTGGTTATCATTATATTAAATAATATAGTAAAAAAAATAAATAGATTAGTCCCGCTCCCTAGATTCGAATCTGTGAATCATTTTCCGCTCATTTTACGTCCACGTTAAAATGAATGAAATATATCCGTATTAATTCTTAGTCCTGTCTCTTTTCTCAATTTTTCAGTTGTGTCAGCAAGGTGTGGCTATCATAATGAAAATGTAACTGCTTCATTGCCCTTTTTTTGAACTGAATAAGAGACTGACGTGGGTCTCATCTACGTCATCCGTAAACAAATAACTCATTTCAACGAATTGATATATGTGGTGTTGATGCTTTTTCAGTTAAAAAGGTTTGTTCAATTTAATAATTCCTTAAGGCAATCAAATAACTAATATTGTTTTATTACTTTTCAAAAAGATACCTCACAGTGCATATCTGTTAAACATTTTTATATGTTTTGAAATTATAACTCTTACATGTTATGCTTCTTATGATGTACCTATTTATTCTTTCCAAATAAAGCTATTTTGCATACTTGGCTTGAGAATATCTAAAATTATTATTGTCATTGTATTTTATGCCATTTTTACTTTGCAATTTATGTATTAAGACTCGTCAATTCCCCATGAAGATGTAACAAGTCAAGCCTTTTATAAAATAACAAGGTTGTCTTACCTTAATTTACTCATTCTGTAAATATTATATTAAGTATATCGAATAAGTATAAGACTATTCATTGCAAGGTTCACATGTATCATAACTCTATATTATTGTTCTTCTTACAGATGGATACGACTGGCATATATCCAATTAATATATCAGCTCAGTTTCAAACAAGATATGCTTACTCGGACAACAACTACATGGATAATGCATCTCTCTCAAAAACAGAGGAAGAAGAGGGTGTTAATGGAATGGAAATTTATAATCTTGCTAAAAGTATAAGAAATGTGTGTATCCCGATAATTGTTTTCGTTGGAGTTTTCGGAAATTTCGTGTCCATGTCAGTTTTTGCCTCCAACTACCTTCGACGATCCTCTTCCTCTACGTTTTTGGTGGCTCTGGCGTTAACTGATAACGTTTTCTTGATTTGTCTGCTCCTCACTTGGCTTGATGGCTCTGTTGACAATATCCTGACGTCAGTAAGAATCTGTCAGGTTATCTCCTATTTGACCTATGTTTCCAGTTTCCTGTCTGTTTGGTTTGTAGTCGGATTTACGTCTGAGCGATACATTGCCATTTGTCATCCTTTAAGATCAAAGCTCTTTTGTACGCATGTGCGAGAAAGGATAGCCGTGCTCATTTTCTTAATATTTTCTATAGTCCTGTACAATTTTGCCTCTTGGACTACGGATGTGTATACTTCCAAGAAATTCATAAGATGCACGTACAAAATAAAATTCATCAAATTTCTCAACATAATCACGTGGTTAGACACCGTTGTCACAATGATGATTCCGTTTACTTTGATATTTTACATGAATATGCGGGTTGCCTGTACAGCTGCCAAATTTCAAGAAAAAAGGAAGGCCTGTTTGTTACCAAGAGATGCCAAACACGTCAAACATAGAGCGCTTCGATCAAAACAACAGATGCGAGTTACACGAACATTACTTCTGGTATCTACAACATTTTTGGTTCTGAACTTGCCAAGCCATGTTTTCAAGCTTTCCACCCTCATTTCTGCTTTCCTTAACCCCTCCAACACTTACAATATTAGCATGGCGCAGTACCTTATACAAGAAATTTCGCAATTGCTTTATTATACAAGTTTTAGCATGAATTTCTTTTTGTATGCCCTATATGGAAAACATTTTCAGCGATCTCTAAGCTTTATGTACGAGTCTTTGAGACTGCAGTTGGGCTGTAGTGACAGAATGGGATATATAGAAAGAACGAGCACACTAAGAAGCTGGACTTGATTTGATGACCAGTTCAAGTATCATTCTTCGATTCTGTGATTGATATCTATTTTTCCCCGTTTTTTGTTAATTCTGGAATAAAATATTGATTTTGGAAATACTAAATGGAGAGACAAATTAATTCAGATGGAAAGGAACCAGTATAAATGCGTACATCACTACACGGATTTTATCAGATTGTTGGCAAAGAAAGATTTTATTTTCGAAAGACCCTGAATTCCACATTCGTAACATTTCATTGTTGTGAATCCATTTTGAACAAGCAGATGGCGCATACTAGATGACCATGCTTTAAATGTCGCATAAAACTTTGTTTTTACGTCTTTTCATATCTTATTGTATGTTTATATAATAAAAGATTTCTCGTTCACGATATATTTTGATTCTAAATTCAGTTATAGCTATCAAGGTCTCCAAATTACATTTCAAATTTTGTAAAAATCAGAATAACAATAATTTTGGCCATGGAAAAAACACTTGTTAGGGAAATAATTTTTGTATGAGAATATACGCAAGGGCTATTTCACACTTTTCTTTCCATCATTTGTTGGATCAGAAGCATTGAAAAGTATGCTGTAATATGTTTTACCAGATACATAAATAAAACGATGAAAGTACCATAATTTGGCAATGACATAACTCAGATAACATTAAATGCTGCTAAAAATTATTAAATTACAACCAAGACTAACTGGTCTTCTCTTAGATATCTCTTGACTCTAGTTAACGATGATTGCTGCAAAGGAGTTAGGCCTACTCGGCACACCTCAGCCCATTTGTACCTAATCTCAACACACATCACCCTATTTGTACCTAATTTAACATCGGTTGTATGATTTAATGAGAAATCTTTAGAATAAATACTCTGTGTAACGTGTTAACAGCGTGTTGACCTACATTCTTACATAAACAAGATTCCCAATGCAAGTTCCTTGGTAGGTGTATCTTTAAATGACACCTTAAAGCTCAAAAAGATTTTATTATTTCATATGCTTGTTTGATATGCTTTTCGAAGCGTTATGTTTTTCTTTTAATGGTAAAAAAAAATTGTAAATCAACATACATGATACAGCCGATATTTGATGAAGGCAACAGAATCATTTGAGGTTTGCCGAATGGAGACAGACCAAGCTAAGATACTTGGAAATAGTGTATTTCGAATCCCCTGCCCTTTTTGGGGGAGCTCTAATGTCAATAAGACGAGACTTAACATTTGAACAGTTCTTTCGATCTTTACATAGAATTGACTAGTTTGCTGCACGCATTTCTTATTTGACCATTGGTATCCAAAGGTAATTCGAACAAGATTGGCTTTCCAGAAAGCCTGGAAAGCAATCTTTTTGGTTGGTTTCAAAGAAGCAATATTTTTCAGTTATTAACCTGGGTGAAAATCTAAATTGATTTAGAAAAAGTGCAATTACAATGTTTGTAAATGAAATTGTAACCAGCCATTCTTTCAAGTGACGAGTAAACAGTTGTTTTGCAATAGGCAGCTTTAAGTCCTACGGTCCTTTTATCTTTTTCTTAAAAGCCGCGTAATCTACTAGCCCCAAGAAGTTTTGAGGTGTAACCTCCTTCAATTGTACTTCAAAGTTTTCCTTCAATCTATCCTCAAAAAATGCCTTGGCCATTAAGCCACCGGGGATATCAAGCAGAAATGAGCAACATCCCGCACCCTACCCTTTTGCTGTCAAGTCTCTAGTTTCATATTATTTCATATAAGTATATGTACATGCTACTGGGAATTAAATAGCATCGAAAGTAAAATTGGCTAACACATTTTCTTGCAATGAACATTACTTATATTTCTACATGTAACTTTGCATCCGAATTAGTCACCAATCTTCAATTAATGAGAGTGAAAAACAATTGTGTCACAACCGACCTCAAGTTGTAATAGGTTTTCTTAGTTCTTAAATTCGTATTTACAAACAAAAAAATAATATTTTGGATGACTCCTGTTTACCAAGAAATAACAAGATTCATAAAAAATAACAATAAATTTATCTACATATGTACAATAAACATGAAAACGACCAAACGTTGAACTAAGGTCATCACTGAATGGTTTCACTCTACCTCACAATGTCGTCTACGGCTCATCATACTCTTCCCGCTGGTCCACCATGTCCTAAGATGTAGCCTCTCCATGTAAGATAATCCAACCTTCCAAAACAAAGCTTATACAATTTGGTCACCTACAATTTTCAAAGGGTTTTCTAATAAATTATTCAAAACACATCTCTTTATTTAAAGCACTAGATTTTACTAACCAATTACATCAGAATACATATATTCACCGTTTTAACTTGTAGATGAATTAGAGAGTAAATATATACATTCTCCCTATATTGTTAACAGTTTTACAAAGAATATTGTTCTTTAAAACTAACAACAAAAAATATTGTAAAGTGTAAAAACTTACTGAGCTATGGCATTTAACACAAAATAAACATACTACCGTCACCCAAGGTCTTGCTCTCAACGCCGCTATGTACTACACACAGGTAACTGAATCCCAAGATCACTCAGCAGGGGAAACAAGACACACCCAAGTTGACTGAGCATGGGTTACATTACAAGCACACACCCCAGATCACTCAGCATGGGTGTAAACTTCTACATCGCGGCGTCCAAACCTCATCTGACGAATACCAGCCAGCACCCAGTATAAATAACTGACCAAACTAATCAAACGGCTTCGATGAGTATCCGTAGATAAATATAGTAACATAGACTAGTGTACAGCTCAGTGACCAATAGAGCGTAAATGAAATAAACGATAACTCCTAATGCCAAACTAAAGAAACTCTTACATCTACATGCAATAAGCTAATATTAAACATTGACACAATGTCACTTGTGACAAATGGTTTAAGTGAAACATTTATTCAGCATCATCTTTTCTATCTACAGAATAAACTTTAAGACAAACGACTTTATTTGAACAAATTATCAATGTGTTCGTGAACAATGGTACCAATCTTTGCAATCTCAAAACACATTATCTAAGTTTACAGGGGACAAATATTTATATATGAGCATATGTCGTCCAATTTTCAAGTTCATTTACTCATGTTATGTTGCAATATTGTTTCGTAAAATTTATAATTTTTACCTCAATTTGTCAGTCCCATAAGATCTTGTCGTAAATTCAACAGAGAGTGCCAAAACAATAGTAGATTAAAATGACGACAAAAAAGGATAGACCGACTTTGTAAGGTCTGCAAACACTTTGAAAATGATTCAGCAGGCCAGAGAAAGACAAAATAAGTCCAGATTACCTGTACTTAAATGGTAGAAGAGATGCAGATGCGTCGCGACACATTTAATTTCGATTGGCAGTTCGGGTGTTCGAATTTAGTCACGACGAAAAGTCACGTTGCTCGCATTTAATTCTGAAAAGCAAATTAAGCTGCCACTATCAAGTGATGACCTTTATTTTTTGCTATTTATATCCATTTGCAATATTGTGTTTAGAAATCATTCAATTTTTAAGTCATGTAACAAGATGGTTTACACAAGGGTTATCTCGTCGAGAAAAATATATTGATGCAGAAAGAGTAGTCATTGGAAAGCGATGGCGTTGTTGGATGTAATTTGAAACTCAAAGGCAAGGGTGATAACATAACAGGGCCACTAATCATTTTAATTCATATCCAAATAATATTAAAACGGTTTTATTCTCAGGATTTTTTTATATGAACTAGAGGGACTTTTTGTATGTTTCGAGAATTTTTTTCACTCTTATTGAGACGCCACCAGTTGCCGGTGGGGGGAGGCAAATTTAGACCTATACTCGGCACTCAAGACCATTGAGCAGCTAGGGATCTTTTTCGTGCAAGCACCTACTACCACATGGGACCACGGTTTATACAGTCTTATCCGAAGGACAGGTCTTCATGTTCCACAGTGTGATGGAGGGACATTTTATATTCGCTTCAGAGGTAAGTTGAGCACTTTGTATTTTGACATTTTTTACAAAACAAAAATGTGATTTGACCCCTTGTATTTTGTTATTGCTTCACTATTACCTGTTTTGGCTGATCTCGGGGTCGAGAAGACGGTAGAACTTTTAATCTCTGAGTTTCGTCAAACAAAACGAACCGGTATACGATCCTCTTAAACAAAGTAATCAAGTGATTGTGATGCATTTTATTTATGTCATTATAACCCTAAGAGATCTTAAAACACTTTGTCCCAATATGGGTTCTTCTTTCTTCATTAGAACAATGGCTAGGAATGGAAAAAACCCACGTTATGCAAGTGGTTTAGCCCTACCTGCTCTGAGTTAGACTTAGATTAATGCTTGATAATATACCTTTGTCGGTAAAATATACCAAACACGACTTGAATGAAAGCATGGATCAGAAGTTGAGCATTCTTATTTATCCAACCTTTGTAAAGCTGCCAGTCGATCGGTAGACCAAGTACTTGGTACACTGATATTTGCTTTACTCCTATTGATTTTGACGACAAATTCAAAGTTTACGTTTCCGGAAACTTTTAGTGTTGTTTTCTGTAAATATGCTACATTGTATGTTTACTTCAGTTACTCAATAATTTCATTTTTACTCAATAATCCATTTCTAATTCAACATATTTTGTATATTTGTTTTGTAGAGCTCAAACTATTGGCGAGGAGTTGAGAACCAATGCAATTCAATAAAAGAATGCAGCTTACACTTTATATATACATGTATATATACCTCAACAACAAAATTATATAAAAGAAAAAAATAAATGCCATTTTTATTTATGCATTAAACTGTATACAGCAATGAAATTATAGTTTTGGGAATTTTTTTCTATAAAATTATTCTACAGTTATTTTAATCTTTGGATCTTCAGATGGATCTCCAAGATCTCCTTCTTTGAATTGGCTCGAACTACCGGAAGCCAGGGAGAAGAATATTTTTTTTCAGTAAATTTATTGCTTTAATAGGATTTTCTTGCCAGAGTGAAAGCATGGATATTTGGCTATTTGATGTGGATAACAC